AGATTCCATTAATTAGTCACCCAGAGAAAACCTTGCTTTACCCCTTTACTGACAACACAGTGTTATCTCCTGAACCCTTTACATTAACTGACCAAACTGTAGACATGTTTACGTTATCTTCTTTCTCAGATACAACTTCAACTGAAACAATAGAGATGGTAACAACAAGGAACACTGTTGCTTTTGATTTCATGACTACGACATCAACATCAGCACCATCAACTACTTTCAGTGACTCTCAAAGAACACACACATCCTTTACAGCAACAGTTGAAAACCTGAAAACTTTGACTCACAGTACAATGATTTCACCTCATGAGTTCATGACCGGGCAGTCTACAGATGCTCCTCTGTTTTCTGCCACTACTCAGTTTGAGTCAGAAGCAGGTCATTTTCCCGACCCAGACTTCTCAGGAGATTACACATCAACATACACAGATGAAACAGCACCTGAACAGCCCTCTGTGGAATCAGCAACCCTAGCAGTAACAACATTTAGTCCATCAAACACACCTGTATTCACTGGGGAAGAGCATTCAAGTGATAGAGTATTTACAACTGCTACATCTAGTCCCTATACACTCAAAACATTTCGGCCAATGGCAATACCCAGTATTACCCCAATGATGACCTCTGCCTACAATGACATGGACAACTCTGGCAGCTTCCCTCAAGACTTTGATTTGGAATCAAGTCAAGATGGATCTGGTGAAGGGATATTAATTGAAACTGCTACAAAACCATACAAGGAATTTAAAGTGCAAACAGATGAGACAGAAACAGATGAGACTCAGAGCACATCTGACATGGTCAGTGTTGCATTTTCACCTCAGTCTAGTACACAGGTAACCAAAGAATTTATATCACCAACTCAATCTCCAAGCATGATGAGCCCTGAGATTTACACTTCTGATCAGGGCAGTGGAGTCACCGATCAAGATGAGTGGTCAGGCGATGACTCAAGTGGGTCATCCTCCACAAGAGTACCTGAAAGGGAGAGTTCTGGAGTTTTGGATAGTACAATTTCCTCAGCGGTTATAAATTCAGTGTTTTCAGAAGATAGTGACCCAGGTGGCCATACCACTGACGTGCTTATTACAGTAAAAGACACAGGATTATCAGTTCTACCCACAACCAAACCAAGAATAATAGGAGCAACTCATGAAAGTACATCTGTTACTAGCACAGAGAGTACAGGCCATTCCATTTTCAGCACAGAGAAACCAACAAGCACAGCAAAAAGACTTAATGAAAGTGGAACCGCTGATGTTCCAAAATCTACTGCACCTGCAGCTTCTCTCTACACCACAGAGAAGTCGTACACATCAACAGAATATGCAATCACAAGTAAAAAATCAACACCAAAACCAGATTTTACTTTGACAGAGGTAGAGAGTTCTGGCAACCAAACCACTGTGAAGTTCACCCTAAAGCCTTCAGTGATGGAGACTGCCACATTTTCAGAAACAGCAGGTGAAACCAAGGGTTTTGCTACAGCAACACCAACCTCTGATAACAGGGTTTTCTCACAGGAAAGTAAAATTACTCCAGCAACAGATCATCCCCTTTCAAGCACTGAGAAAGATGAGGTTGCTGTGGCTGAACACACAACAGAATCCCCCTCTACAGCCCTGCCCTCCCATACAACTGATGCCTTAATATATAATCACACTGTTGTTGATTTCAGCACAGAAAGCTTGAGCAGTGAGCATAAACAAGATGAATTTACATCAACATCTGCCCCAGTTCCCACTGTTATATATCACAGCGTTACAGATCAACAAGTTGAGATTATTACTCCCGACAGGAGCCAAGCCAAGACTCGACTAACTGAACAAACACCGACCATAGTTCTGGATGCATCCAAAACATCAACCAGCACATCTATCATATTCATCGAGGATACACAACAGGAAGATAAACTGTTCTCTGGAGTTACAGATAGTATGAGAGAAGACAGCTACAGTACAGAGCTTATTACCAAAGATGATACAATCACTGATGCAGATACGATGTCTGTGGTTCCCTCTTCTTCATTTTATCCAACTATTCTGACAGAGGAAGCTGGGGGTGTCACAGCAATTACAATAACTCAAAAGCTGGAAGTTACAGAAGAACCAGAGGGTTCAGGGACTGTGGGTGACACATTTTTGAGTCCTACACCAACCTCAGCCAGTGATACATCATCAGCCTCAACATCTTCTGAATACTTGTTCACTTCAGAATCGTCACCTGTGAAAGACGTTTCTTCGGAAGAAACATCAAGTGAAGTAAATGTCACAAGGTTGGCGCAGGCCACACAAGATACTTCCGTGTCCACTCAGTCAAGCTCTGGAGAAATCTATGATGTTACAACAACACACAAAGTTTTCTCATTTGAGACTACCAAACCAATTTCTGATCAATTCCAAGGAGACACGACTGAGATTTCCACTTCCTCATCTTTTTCTTCTCAAATGTTAATGGAAACAGCAGACTCTACCTCTGTCACTTTAGTGACTAGTGAAGATTATGTGGTCACCACAGTTAAAAAAGAAAAATATACGACAGCATCACCCGTAATTCTAACAGCTACAAGTCACGGCATAACTGATAAAACCTTAAGTTCATCCGTTTTCACACAAACCACTAAACCTTCAGTCACTGTCGCACCAGTCTCCACTAAACCTGGAACAATGAAATCCACCAGTAAAACATCTGATGACGACTCTTCAGGTGACTCTGATGACTTTGCACAAGAAAGCTCAGAGAAACCTTCAGCATCATCTTTGGAAAGTTGGATGACTGAAAAAACATCTACACCCTCTTCACTGTTTAGTACTGAGCAAGCCAGGTCTGAGATCATGCCTACTCCCCACACTGGCATCTCTTCTGAGAAAAATGTGCCAGCCACAGTGAGCCCAGTGTTGTCTAGTGAGAAGTTAAGCACTGCTATGGTTGTAACTGCCCAGACTGCATTAACAGTCACAACATTGAAAGGGGAAATTTCAAGTAGTTCAGACAGTGACATCCAGAAAACATCTCCTCATGCTATTATAACTTCATCTCATATGGGGACAGGAGCGGAGCCTGTTGGAGTAGAATCTACAACTCCAAAACCTCCAAGTGAAAAAGAAGAAGAAACTATAGCTACTGACACAAGATCTCCTGCAGTGTCAAGCGCTGTAGACGCATCACTAGAGATCTCAGGTGAAGCAACTTATTCATTTTCATTTGAAACAAAAAGGACTCCATCCTCAGGTGTGTCCTCAGTTTCTACCACTGAGACTGAAGGGTTGGTTTTCACTTCAGAAATTACTGACCAGTCACCCAAAATGATAACAGAACCTGCCCTTACCATTCTTGCTTCTACCACTGAGAAGCCAGCTGTAGTATCGACTGAGAGAGACACCTCAACCGATGAAGACAGTTCACGTTATGCCAAGACGCCAGTGAAGAGTGAAGAGAGGTTTATATCAACAGGAACAAGTATTATTATTTCTACAGCAGGTTCAAGTGAAATGGGATTGAGCACCTTTGGGTCTGACTCTGTCACTCCTAGTTTGTCGACCGTTAAGAAGACTATGATTACTAGCACTTTATCCACTCAGCCGGCAAGCTCCCAAACAGATGAGTCAGAATCTTTTGAAGAAACCTCAGGTCAGACATCCCATGAGGTCTTCAGCACTGCAGCCCATGCAACACAGCTCCCTGCTGTGACCAGATCTATTGAGTCATTGAATACATCAACTTCCTTTGAGTCAGAACCAAAGGAGTCACAAAATGCAGCTATAACAAGCACAGCTATCTCAGAGACAACAGTAATGATCACCACAATACCCACTTCAAATGTCCCCTCAACACCATCACAGCCAGATGTTGTCATTCAGTTGGACTCAACTCTTTCTCCTCTACAACCACTGACAACTCCCATGGAATTATTTGAACAAGCCAAGTCAGAAATTACACTTACACACCGCCCCAACCCTGGTCTTTCTCATGATATATCACTGACCACAACTCGCCCTGTATTTGCTAATCATGTCACAAGCCAGACTGCAGTATCAACAGTTGCACCTGCTTTTATTTCTGAAGACGGCCGTGTTTCGGTAGCAGATGGGACAGTTGAACCAGCTGTTGATCAGGTCTCAAGTGGTGCAACGACTCACCTCAGTCTAACTGATCCACAACCAGATTATGAAGCACTAAATCCGTATGTGGTGGCAGCAGATCCCCTGTACAACCAAACACTAGAAAATGATACAGTGTTAATTTCTACACCACCATCTGTTGCTCAAACACCTGACTCAAAGGTAATAGCAGAAGCTATCATGGTTACGGCATCAACCACAATCAGTGGAAAATCAGTCTCTACCCTCCAAGAAAACAGCATGACTACAGCAAGTGTTGTTAAGCTGGGTGATGATGAGTCACCTTCTGTCCCTAATGATAAGGCTGAAAGTGGCTCTGTAAGCTCTGGGATTTCATCCCCCAGCTTTGATGATGTATCTGATGAACTGATGACTACAAAGGCACCAAAGATCATCAGTATAGAACAGGCTCTATCTCCAGATGAAATCAAGAAAGTATTTAAGGTAAATGCTACAGAAGCTTCAAAGAAGGAAGGTGTTGATGTCACGTTTGGGAAAGGTGACATAGGTGTCTCTCCTTACACTGAAATACCAACCAGCACTCAATTCAAGACAGTATCACCAGCCCAGGTGCAAAATCAGCTAGGTACAATTGCATCAACCACACCATCAACCTTTTCTGAGCAAGACCAGAAACAGGGCAGTGACATGACTGCACCACCATCAGTTATTGAAGGAAAACCATCAATAAAAGAGGAGGAAACAACCACACCGCCTAATAGAGGATTTGATCTGGGACACACAGTTGTTGGCGAGACTTTGGAGATTTCTGGTAAGTTTCCTTCTAAGTTGGCACTGAAATAGAGCAAAAAAAATGAATACTCCAATAAACTTCTGTTTAATTCGACTTTTATTTTACTTTGCCATCAGGAATTGACTCATGCACAGAGGATGTTTGTCTAAATGGAGGCTCTTGCTTGAGGATTGGCAGCACCTATACCTGTCACTGTGCTCCTGGTTTCAGTGGTCATCAATGTGAAATAGGTAGGACAATTCTTGCAAAGCTCACATGAAGCACTGCTAAAAGAACATAATATTTCTGGGACTACAAGTTGTTTTGCTCATCTGCTCCTATTGATTATGTCTGTTTCTTATGAAGATATTGATGAGTGTGAATCAAACCCTTGCCGCAATGGAGGCACTTGTGTCGATGGCTTGGCTTCTTTCACATGTGTGTGTCTCCCAAGCTATGCTGGGCTGTTTTGTGAAGAGGGTAAGTTTGAAATTAATTTAACAATTTTTCTCTCTAGATTCTTTCTTATTATTATTTTTCCCATTAATAAAACTCATCGGTTATTTCTGGGCTGGTCTCAATTATCCAAATTGAGCTAGTGCTAAGCACATATAAGAGAGAAACAAAATGTTAACATTATAGCCTCTTACATTTGACTATGTATTTAGACATTTAACATATTACTCAGTTGAGTGAACCACAAAAATGTTTAGACACGCCACATTAAATATAATCATACTGTTTGCATGCAGCTGATCGACGTCTCGTCCTCAGGCGTCAGCTGACTAATCAACAACATCTTTATTTCATCACCACAGCTTTTTTTTTACTGTCTCTTTTTGGTGTCTCATTGTAGCTAACATACTTCAAAACCCCTTGAATTCCCAAAGATTTCAGTTTCTTAGTATTTAAAGATATGGCCTGTTGTCATCAAGTTGAATCCAGTCAGAGTAAATGCATGCTAGATCTCAAATCACTATATTTCCATCTAAGACAACTTTACTGGACTAGAAAATACAATGAAGTCTCTGAGTTCTTGCTTAAAAAAGTTTATCTGGACAAGGGAGTTCTGGAATATTTAAGAAAAAATTATTTTACTGTTACCAGTTGAACCACATATTTACACCAAGTGTGCTGAAACCAGGGCAATATGTGCCTTGGGTGATGTCTCTTGACCAGTGTCTACACCCTAAATTTTGTTAGTTACTCAACAGTGAATCCCACCCAGATATTTTACTCAGACACAGCTGCTGTCTGACTAAGTTTTGCCAAAAAAAAAAAAAA